GTTAAACTTGAACAGGAGAGCGAGAGTGTTGTCAAGGGAGGTGGCGCATCACACTACAGTCTGGAGGATCATAAAGCTCATGGCACTACTGTGTGGTAGAGGAGTAGTCTAGTCTTACTTGCAACCTAAGCCATGGGTAAACCTGGTGAGTAGTCTTCCAGGATTAGTAACCCAGGATAATCCAGTAAAGTCAGGATATCATCATGGGCTATCTGTCTTGTTTCCACTGGGGTCTGAGAGAAATGTTCAGACCCCAGTGGAAGTAAGTCACTGACTTCTGTGCTACCCTGGGTAATTTACACATATATTACTACCATGTATGATAATTGTACTTACGTAATTGTATAATGTGAAACTGGGTGTTTCCTTCCACTTGCTGCATAAATGGGAAACCGGCTTAAATAAATGAGGATATGGTTGATCATCAATAAAAGCTAGGGTACACAAATAACCCGCACATAAAAGACAGAAGCTTACGACGACGTTTCGGTCCGACTTGGAGCATTGACAATGGTCCAAGTCGGACCGAAACGTCGTCGTAAGCTTCTGTCTTTTATGTGCGGGTTATTTGTGTATCGTTCCAGTCACGGTATTGTGCCTTTTTGTTATTTAGTTATTTAAAAGCTAGGGTTATGTTCCCCAAAGTCGAGGTGTAATCTAATTTTGCATGAACTGATCTGAAAAATATACAGGAAAAAGATAGTTAACATTCACAGACTTCCCAAAAAATGCCAAAAATATTTTTAAATGTAATTAAGTCACCGTGAATAAATTTTGTATTACTTTGTTTTAATTGATGTGGCTTGTTGACATTGAGGTTCTGTATGTAGAGAGGGTTGATGCAGCATTACTAGAATGAGGTAGATGGCTGTGGTTCATGTGTTGATGTTGCTGATTTGTCAGTAGTTTATGAATGTAGTTTATTCGTGACCTGGTTTACATTACATTTACATGGAGAGAGTTCCGGGGGTCAACGCCCCCGCGGCCCGGTCTGTGACCAGGCCTCCTTAGGTCAGTGTCCCAGGATGCGACCCACACCAGTCGACTAACACCCAGGTACCCATTTTACTGATGGGGAACATAGACAACAGGTGTAAAGAAACACGTCCAATGTTTCTACTCTGGCTGGGAATCGAACCCAGGCCCTCGCTGTGTGAAGCGAGAGCGTTAACCACCAGGCCACCAGAGCCACGTTCTCATCTCATATACTGAGTGTGTGTGGTTTGATACCCAACAAGGGTGGAAACATTGGACATGTTTCCTTACACCTGTTGTCACATTCACCTAGCAAGCAAGTAGTTACCTGGGTGTTAGTTGACTGGTATACCTGGAGAGGGTTTTGGGGGTCAATGCCCCCGCAGCATGGTCTGTGACCAGGTATGGGTCGCATCTGGGGGGACAAGATTTAAGAACCCCAATGGAAATAAGGCAGACATTCCCTCAATGATGCACTGACTTACTTAGGTTATCCTGGTGGCTAACCCTCCAGGGTTAAAAATCCATAAAAAAATCTTATACCTTTGATGGGTTTGGATCATTTTCCTACTGTTTCAGAAGGCCAGGCTGGATTGTAATGCATCTCTTGCATTTTAACCTGCAGTACTTAATACCAGGAATGGGATGATACCAAAATTTTACCAATGCCAATACTCAAATTTAGTCTGTTACTGATACCATCAAAATTGGCTGATACCCACCTATCATTATTTTGGGGTGGTTTAGCACTAGTTGATTATAATAATAATTATTCTGTGGTACACTCCTACTTGACACAGCTGATGATACTGTAAAGCATCATTACTTTCCCATATTCCACTTCAGAGCAATGCTTACAAGCATATCAGGATAATTTTCAGTGGAAAAGTCTTTAAATTTACTAGTAAAATATAATTTAACTCTTGCATTGTTAATTCTTATATTTTTAGCTCGTCATCCTGTTATTTTATCTTCCTCCCTTTCCTTGGAATTGAACTCCTCCAGTATTTCTTCAGATGATTATTTGTCAGGCCTATTCGGCCCTTTCACTGTTCCCCCCTTTTATCTATGTTATTGACACCAGTGCTGCTCACATAGAGCTACATTTTAAGCTCATTGCCTTGGATATACGGTGAATAGTAAATTTTGGCATAGATGTGAGAGAATAGTCTGTGCTGTTAATATGCACAGAAAAAATTCTGCCCCATGTGGTGCCTGATAGGAAAAGCAAACCTCTGGCTGTGTGTATAGTTTAAAGTAGTAACTTTGAGGTGTTTTCTACAGTGCTTTTTATGGTTTATTGGCTGTTTCTTGGTATCAGTGAATAGAATGGAAGGCAAACTAGTGAAATAGAGGTGCTTTAAGTTGGTTTCAAGAGTGGAAGAACATTAGCTTGAAACCGAAATCAGAGTAATGGAAATATTAGATTTTTGGCAATTTTCCTGAGGAAGGCTATGGCCCTTTTTAACCCCCATCCCCCAGCCTGTTTAATGGGCTTTTACTATGTTTTCTTCAGTTATTGGGATGCCCTAAACCATGACCAGTCATTCTTAGTTATGTTTTATTTGAGAAATAGGGCAAAACTGATTTTGTGTGTTGGATTCAAAATGGAGGACAAGTATTTTATAGGAGAGACCTGAGGATAATAATAATAATAATAATAATAATAATAATAATAATAATAATAATAATAATAATAATAATAATAATTTGTTAAGTACATGTACAAGGTATACAGGCCTACCTAACATTGATGGCATACTACTCTATAGAAAGCCCCAGGATGCGACCCACAGTCGACTAACATCCAGGTACCTATTTTATTGATAATACCTTACCTTTGATATACCTTTGATATACCTGGCCATGGGCCAGGCTCGTCTGGTGCTCGCCTGGTCAACCAGGCTGTTGCTGTGGCTGTTGCTGCTGGAGGCCCGCTGTCCCACATAAACATCACAGCCTGGTTGATCTGGCACTTGGTGAAGATACTTGTCTAGTTTCCTCTTGAAGGCTTCAACACTTGTTCCAGCAGTGTTTCTGATATCTTCTGGTAAGATGTTGAAAAGTCTGGGACCCCGGATGTTGATAGTGTTCCCTTATTGTCCCCACCGCACCCCTGCTCCTCACTGGGTTTATTTTACACTGCCTCCCATATCTCTCACTCCAGTATGTTGTTATGGCAGTGTGCAGATTTGGGACCAAGCCCTCGAGTACCTTCCAGGTATATATTATCATGTACCTCTCTCTCCTCCGCTCCAATGAGTACATGTTCAAGACTTGCAGGCGTTTCCAGTAGTTTAGGTGCTTTACTGGCTTAATGTGAGCTGTAAACGATCTCTGTATTTGTTCCAGCTCCGATATTTCTCCTGCCCTGAACGGGGCCGTCAGTGCTGAGCAATATTCTAAGCGAGTGAGCACTAGCGATTTGAAGAGTGTCACCTTTGGCATTGTTTCCCTTGTGAACAGGAACAGCAGGTGCCTCAAGGAAACATCCTGATGTTTTCGCCCATAACGGGGATCGAACCATGGACCTCAGTGTGTGAGCAGTGTGTGCTAACAATCGATCTACAGGATGTAATTTATGAACAGAGGATAGGTTGCTTTAGTGTTTGGAATGCATATATGTAATGATTATTTTGGACTGTTTTTAAATGGGAATTTGTTGAATTTTGTGTAAAATTGGCCAAATTACCTACTTTTTTCCATTTTATGATAGTTTTGTTAGTTGAATCAGTAGAACAGAATAGCTAGAAAGTGAGTCAAATTGAGCAATGAAATTGGCTTTAAATAGAACTTGAAGTCAGCGAAATCATCATTGTGTAAATTATGCCCAGACCACAGTCCATCAAATTTCTTATTTCAGAACATAAAACTGCTGCCAGCACTTTTAATTTTGGGGGTTGCGACAGTGAATGGGCTAAAGAAGGAAATCTAATGGGGTGGCAGGAAGAAAATACAGCAGAACCTCGGCTTATGAATTTAATCCATTCTGTGGACTTGTTCGTATCCTGATTTGTTCGTATGCTGGGTCGATTTTCCTCATTTGAATTTATTGAAATGCAATTAATTCGTTCCAGCTGAATTCCTGCTCTCAGGAGGCAAAATAACCCTAATATCAACTCTACATCTTATTTATTTGTCACAATTCATCTAATGTGACATAATAAACAATATAAATAACATAGAAACCTGATATATATTCTAGAATGAATAAAATATGCCATTACATGGACGGCGGAGGGAGGAGGATTGTGGTCACGAGAGTGGTCACTGTGTACAATTTTTGTTATCTCATTACACGACGTACCTGGTCTGTGCTTATCAATAATTTCTTGCTTTAATTCCATGCAAATCATCCTCTTTTTCTTCTCAGCACTGTCCTTTGCACTTGCTTTCTTAGGACCCATGGTTAGAAGAAAGAAAGAAAGAAAGAAATCATGGGAATTAACTGCACAAAACGTAAGGAAATCACGAGAATTCCTTGGACCGCAAGGGTAGCTTGGTAAGCACATGTACACTGGTGACCATTGTGGTGGTGGTGTCACACTAAATTATATGCAGTACGTACATAGTATATTGTTATTATTTATTATACATAATTATTATGTATTATCATTATTAGTAGTACATACGTATTATTATTATGTATTATCATTATTATTAGTACACATATTATTATTATTATTATTATTATTAATTTAAGGACCTGGAGCACAGATCCAATTCCCTAGATCAAGAGCCCCTCACCATGCACGTACTACTACTACTAATACTACTACTACTACTACTACTAATTATTATTATTATAACAATAACAACAATAATAATAATACAGTATAATAGTAATAATAACAGTAAGGAGAAACTTCAAAATGCTGCCAGTAGTTGGCACCACCATCAACTAAACATTGCTAACCACTACTAGTACACTTTTTATCTGTCTAGACTTAAGTAGTCTACTAGTATTAGGTTAAGTCTGTCCGAAATGCCTTGGCATGATAGAGGCTTTCTTTGCTCTAGTCATATTATATGTAAACACACATTGTAACCTTTGCAAAGAAATAAATATTTTATTTATTTAAGGAACTTCCCTTGATGAGGAAGTTTACATCCTGAAATTTCGTTCACATACAGAAGCAAAAAATCAACGGAACGATGGTTCGTATCCTGAAAAATTTACTTGTTGGGGTGTTCGTAAGCCGAGATTCCACTGTATAGTAATTTTTCCAGCTATGGCAAATCTAATCAGTAAATGTCCAGGTTCACCCTCTCTTCAATAGAAAGTTAAGATAGATCATCACTGGAGGGAACATCTGCTCTCCTCATAGGAACAGATTAACCTCTATTAGTGGGTAAATGTTGATGTCCTTCAATATAGGTTTGAGAATTTTAAATTATAACTATTATAGGTAGTAGGTTGGTAGACAGCAACCACCCAGGGAGGTACTACCGTCCTGCCAAGTGAGTGTAAAACGAAAGCCTGTGATTGTTTTACATGATGGTAGGATTGCTGATGTCTTTTGTCTGTCTCATAAATATGCAAGATTACAGGCATGTCTTGCTACTTCTACTTACACTTAGGTCACACTACACATACATGTACACATTTATTTATACACACTCATCTGAGTTTTCTTTGATTTTATCTTAATAGTTCTTGGTCTTATTAATTTTCCTTTTATATCCATGGTGGAATGGAATAAGAATCTTTCCTCCGTAAGCCATGCGTGTTGTAAAAAATCAACTAAAATGCCGGAACAATGGGCTAGTAAACCCCTTTTCCTGTAAAGATTACTAAAAAGAATAAGAAGAAGAAAATTGTCAAAGTGGGAAGTCTGAAAGTGCGTGGATGTTGTGCAGATAAGAAAGAGATGATTGTGGATGTTATGAATGAAAGAAGCTGGATGTCCCTGGCTTTAAGTGAAACAAAGCGAAGGGGGTGGGAGAGGTTTCAGTGGAGAGGAATAAATGGGATTAGGTCAGGGGTTTCAAATAGAGTTAGAGCTAAAAAAAGGAGTAGCAATAATGTTGAAGGATAAGCTATGGCAGGAAAAGAGGGGCTAAAAATGTTATTAATTCAAGGATTATGTGGATAAAATAAAGATTGGATGTGAAAAGTGGGTTATAATAAGCGTGTATGCACCTGGAGAAGAGAGAAGTGTAGAGGAAAAGAGAGAGATTTGGGAAATGTTGAGTGAATGCTGGGGAGTTTTGAATCAAGTGTGAGAGTAATGGTGTTGGGGATTTCAATGCTAAAGTGGGTAAAATGTTATGGAGGGAGTAGTAGGTAAATTTGGGTTTCCAGGGGAAAATGTAAATGGGAGCCTTTAATTGAGCTATGTGTAGAAAGAAATTTGGTAATAAGTAATACATATTTTATGAAAAAGAGGATAAATAAATATACAAGGTATGATGTAGCACGTAATGAAAGTAGTTTATTAGATTTGTATTGGTGGAAAAAAGGGTTAAATGGTAGGCTCCAGGATGTACATGTTTATAGAGGGGAAAAATGATATATCGGATCATTATTTAGTTGTAGCTACAGTTAGAGTAAGAGTAGATGGGAAAAGGGGAAAGGTGGCAACAACAAGTAAGAGGGAGGTGAAAGTGTATAAACTAAGGGAGGAGGAAGTTCGGGTGAGATATAAGCGCTATTGGCAGAAAGGTGGGCTAGTGCAAAGATGAGTAGTGGGGGGGGGTTGAAAGGGGTTGGAATAGTTTAAAAATGCAGTATTAGAATGGGGGGGCAGAATTTTTGTGGGTATAGGAGGGTGGGGGCGGAGGAAAGAGGAGTGATTGGTGGAATGATGAAGTAAAGGGTGTGATAAAAGAGAAAAAGGTAGCTTATAGAGGTTTTACAAAGCAGAAATGTTATAAGAAGAGCAGAGTATATGGAGAGTAAAAGAAAGGTAAAGAGAGTGGTGAGGGAGTGCAAAAGGAGAGCAGATGATAAGAGTGGGAGAGGCACTGTCAAAAAATTTTAATAAAAATAAGAAAAAATTTTGGAGTGATTTTAAACAAGTAAAAAAAAGCCTGGGGAAAATATGGATTTGTCATTTTAAAAACAGAGTAGGGGAGTTATAGAGGGGGAGATGGAGGTAATAGGTAGATGGCAGAATATTTTGAGGAACTTTTAAATTTTTAAGGAAAAAAGACCCACAAGATATTGCTAATGTTTTAACACTGGAACGGGAGTCCGCAGCAAATTTAGTAGACAACAACTATCATTACACCTAGGGAAAACTGAAGCCATTCTCTTTGGAACGAAACATAAACTGAGAAGGGTAAAATAATTTAATGTTCAGTGTAATGGGGAGTCCATCACTTTGGTTTCATCAGTTAAATATCTGGGAATCCCCTTTGACCCATGCATGTCAGGAGAATTGATGGGGAAACAGTGTAGTAAAGAAAGCGAATGCCAGGCTGAAGTTCCTGTATAGACAAGCACAGTGTCTACCTACTGAGGCTTGCAGGAAACCCTATGTCTAGCCCTTATACAATGCCATAGGGATTACGCTTGCTCTTCTTGGTACTCTGCCTTGACAAAAAACTGAAAGATAACTGAAAACCCCACCCAGAACAAAATCGTAAGATTCATCCTGGGGCGGGGCCCAAGAGAACATGTAGGCCAGGATGAATTACAGCAGTTGGATATGCTGAATGTTGAAGACAGAGTAAAACAACTGAAGCTAAATCATTTTTTATAAAATTGCTCACGAACAGTGTCCAGAATATCTTGCTGTAAATTTTTTGTCAAGGTTGGGAACCAAAGCAATCATAGTACTAGGGGGAGAGAGCACAATTTTGTAGTACCCCAGTCAGTGGCCGGGCTTCAAACACCTTTTATTGTACAGCAATAAAGGAATGGAACAGGCTACCCACAAATGTCAAGGCCAGTCATAGCTTGAACCAGTTAAAGAAGACTGCCAAAAAGTGTCTGATGAATGAAGCAACAGAAAGGGAGGGAATGATTTTCTATTTTTTTTGCTAAAATAAAGTGTAAATTTACCTTATCCCTAGTAATGACCCTCGTATTGTAGATATTTGTAATGACCCTCGGGTAGTAGATAAATCTTAATGACCCTCGTATTGTAGATAGTCTTAATGACCCTCGGGTAGTAGATAGTCTTTTTAGTATGATAATAAGATGTTATCTTCATTATAGAATAATAAGAAAATATTATAACCTTTATATTATAATAATAAGGTAAAAGGACCCCAATGGAAATAAGTCACTCTGTCTGACTTTTTTGGGTTATCCTAGGTTCTCTACACATATGCTGCTATGCATGATAATTCTATGTAACTGTATTGTGTATACCTGAATAAATTTACTTACTTACTTACTTACTTACTTACTTACTTACTTACTTACTTACTTATGTATTTGATGTATTTATATTATGTTGTCCCAAATTTTATTGGAAGAGTAGATGATGATAATGTCATTAATAAAAGACTTGGTATATATTCCCTTAAGAATAGATGACATACTAGAAGTAAGACTTAGTATTTGTTCCTTTGATAAGAGTAGATGACATACTGGATGTCACCCATATTTGAATAGTAGTATTTAGTTTAAAGAGATGTTTGTGGTAAAGGGTACATTTTGCATTATATTTTGTACTTTGTTTCAGATTTTTCACCCCGTGGTGGTGGCGGTGGTTTCCGTGGAGGCCGTGGTGGAGGAGGAGGCCGTGGTGGATTTTCGCCAGGAGGCCGTGGTGGATTTTCGCCAGGAGGCCGTGGTGGATTTTCGCCAGGAGGCCGAGGTGGATTTTCACCAGGAGGTCGAGGTGGTTTCCGTGGAGGCAGAGGTGGCCGTGGAGGGGACCGTGGTGGTTCCCGAGGCCGTGGTGGACGAGGTGGAGGAAGAGGTATGCATTTAGTAACCCCCACACCAAATGTTTTATACCATATATCAGAGGTTAGTGAATTTTTTTTTTGTGGGGGGGGGGTATTACCCCAAAACAAATTTGAGTACAGCGAAATTACCCAGTAGATTTGAATGTCCACATAATCCAGAAAACACAAGGAGCATTCAAATTCAAAATAGTTAGAGGAATTCATTTGTATGAAGAATGCAGTCATACATGTTGAAAAGTGTGTATTATATATGATAAAGCAACTTTATAAATAAAGCTCAAAATTTAACAAAATAATAAAATGAAAAATTAATTGCATGTATAAAAATTAATTACATACAGATTTGATTTAATAAGAACCTCATTAGTGAACTAAAGAATTTCATTGAAAACATTTTCATTTAGGTTTTGGAGAAATAATGATGTTTCATTTTTTATACATCACAAAAAGGGCTTTTGATGGTAATTTGCTCGTTTATTAAATAATTTTCTATGGAATTTTTTATGTTTATTGAGCCTCATTACCCCTGAGATTGAATTTTACCCCATTTGGGTAATTTTATCCCGTGTTGATGAGGTTGGTGTTGACATTGTCATTCATTGCTGCTGTACCTTAAGTGGTAAAATAAATTGCATTTGGTCTAGATCTATTATAAGTTTTTTTTTTTTCGTTTGCATTATCAGTTATGTATTTTCCTGCATTAATAATGGGTTGTTCAGCATACAGGTGGTGAATGCAATAGAGATAAATATTCTACTAGCTGGCAGAATTGCTGGTCATTTTTTTTTAGTCTCATAAGAGTCAAAGTTTACACATTTTTAATTTCTCTTACTAAATATATACAGTAGACCGTTATATTACACGGTAGTTACGTTCCTGGAAACGCCGTGTTAAGTAAATCCGTGTCAGATAAACTGAAGAACTTGTGGGAAGAATAGGGTTATGTTCCTGGCAGTCCCCAAATAAGCCAAACAACCTTTTTTTTAGGCCTTCAGATCTTACAAAAATAAAAGTGAATGTGTAATTGTAATTCATTGTCGTGATGTATTATGTTGTTTTTGCTGCTTAAGACTACAAATGCAACAGAAATAATAGTATTTCTTACCTTAAATTGTTGGTGCTGGTATTTGTGGATGATAGTGAAGAAAGTGGAGAGTTATGCTGTAGCCCTACTGGGCTGAGGTGGATGGTAGAGGTTCTGGTACTGAGGTCGATGTACTGGATTGTGCATAAATTCTGTAATGGACTTCTGTTTTACCCTGCAGTACATTATAAAACTGACAGTAAGGCATCAGCTGCTCTAGACACTGTTTCAGGGTCCTCTTCAGTGAAATAGTCTTTGTCAGTCAGTCAAGTAAGTCAGTAAAGTCAGTAAGTCAGTCAGTCAAGTCAGTCAGTGAGTCAGTCAAATAAATCAGTCAAGTCTAAGTCAAGTAAGTAAGCCAGTCAGTCACACAAGTCAGTCAAGTCAATTAATCAAGTCAGTCAGTTATTCATCACAAAAACTCATATATATATATATATACCTCATTCTTTTTAATTGCACAAAGTGACACTTCATTATGGCTACAGGCTATCTCTTGTCTAATATATCTATTTTCTTTGTTAATTCTAAGGCTTTAATGCTTATACCTTTTCTTGCCAATTTCAGCAACACTGGTATGCCTACTGGGTGTCATGATTGCTTGGCAGATACGAGATATGGTAATTAAGAGATCAAAACATGATTCACAGACACAGCTAGCTCCTAAGACAGAATGGAACTGAACACGTATTCACGAAGGCTGGGATGGTGGTGGTGGGTGTGTTGGGGTGGCAGGGAATGGCCGGAGGTTTCCCCCGCTGACCCTCAACAAGGTGGGCAGCTTGAGCTGGTGGAAAATTTTTCTGCACCTGCAAATGGAACCATGCAAAGTTAATTTTAGTGTTGTATAAAATTGTGCTGCAATTTTTCAGTAGTGCAATAACCAAAACGTGGCAAATAAATCTGTGTAATATAACGGTCTACTGTATATATATTTTATTTAATACGTTGGCCATTTCCCACCAAGGCAGTGTGACTAATATATATTTATCTATATCTTTTTCTTAATTCTCTTGTAATACTTTTTTAACCCGTAAACGTTCCAAACGTATACATGTATATATGTTTTTTCAACATTGAAAGTATGTAAAAAAAAGTAGATCA